CTGGAGTCCCTCGCTGTCCGCGCGGGGCTGGAGTCCCTCGCCGCCCGCGCGGGGCTGGACTCCCTCGCTGTCTGCGCTGTGGAGCGGTGCCCGGGCAGGAGGAGGGAGGGAACATGGACCCTTCTGCTGCTCTGTCGCCCCACCAGCTCCGCAGCCCCGTGCTGCCGGCACTGACTGCACCCCCAGGCTGCTAGCGAGGCCTTTGCCAAGCACTGCTAATCTCGGCGGGATTAAACTGCATGTTTCGGTTGGGCAAAGGTGAGATACTGAACTCATGAACTAATAAAAGGAGCTGGAAAGCTCTTTCCAAGGCCGGATTGACACCGAATGCTTCAACAAACAGAAAAACAGAACAGGTCCATGTTATGGGATGTTGAATGCCTGTTATTGCATGGAAAAAATGAAGGCCTGTCCTGCTGCTGCGGAGCTGCCTCGGGCCCTCTCGTGTGGGCCCGGTGCCGCGCGGAGGGGCCAGGCCGGAGCTGCTGAGACCCCCGATCCCAGGCGTGAGGCACACACAGGCCGCACGGGGGTTTTGGCTCTTGCTTCTTTCTGTCCCCTGGGAAGATAAGATGCCTTTAAGAAATTACAGTAATATTTCAGAGCCATCAGGATACCAGCCAAAGACCTTTCCTTGCTCTGCTCTCTGGAGAGTGCTCTCCTTGTTGCACATTTCTTCGGATGCCACTTCTTAATCTACAGCAGGAACCATTAAAACCTATTGTTGGCTTTTAAAAATGAAGGGTAGAAACAAGAAAAAAAACCACTAGAATTTTTTTTTGACACATGCCAGTTTTGCATCTCACCAGAAGATTTTATCTATTATATCTACTACTATTGGAATTTGTAGCTCAGTGAGCTTGTATCTAAGTTAGAACAGGAATTAGTCAAGAGAACTAAAAGATCGTTCCTCGCTACGGCTGCAAAGCAGCCCGAAACGGTCCCGTCCCTCTGAGACACGGGAGGACGCGCTCAGCAGCTCGCCCCGACGCGCGGCTGCGCAGCACCAGGGACTCCATCCGCCCCCTCGCGAAGGAGCGCTCCGGGGATAAGAAGGTCAGGAGAAACATTAAAAACAATAACTAAGGCATTTTCGGATGCATCTATTTCCAAAAAAATCTCTTTTATCTAAAGAGGACAAAGAAAGATTGCCTCACGTACTGTCATTTTAATTGTATCAAGGGAGCATTAAGAAGCAACCCACGCATGTTATGTTCAAGACAGAAAAAATTATAAATCCTGTCAGAATGACACTTCGAAAGATTCAATAATAAGAAGGTAGACTAAGAAATAAATGAGGGAGTCTCAACCTGCAGCTGTTTCTAAGGCAGTTTGCAAAGCTCCCTGGCAGAGGAAGGACAGGCACCCTGCGCATCTCCGCTATCTGTGGTTGTTGTTAGTAGAAGTTAGCCACCAACAACGCTGGGCAGCACCAGAGCTTTGCTTCCAGTGACTTCATTGTTCTGGTTATTTTCCATGTAACATGTACTGGAAAATACATGTAATCTCCATGTAGTTTTTATTAGTTTCTGTATTAATGGAAAGAAGGAGCAAGCATTGAGAAATGGATTGAAATGTTCCTGACAGCACGCTCTGTGCTCGTGTTAAGAAATTTTGCAGTCTGCTTTTAAAAAAGACACTGTGGCCCCCAATACAGAAGCTGGAGCTTGGAGTCAAGCCCAGCTCTCTCAGCCTTTCCTTTTCCCTTAACTTTTCAGTATTGCCATCTACTTCTTCTCCAGGTTTTGAATGTGTATGTAACCCTTCTGGGCTGTAGCAGAGGGAGGTGCCCATGAAGCAGGCACCTCGGTAGAACATGCATATGTCTTTTTGTTGCATTATCTGACCGTACAGCATAAAAGACAAAACAAAGTTTCCCCGATTGTCATCGTCAGCGGTTCCCATTGAGGCCATGAACCAGGAGACTTTGCTCTGTATTTAACTACTTTTTGGCAGCAACCAATACTGAGATGGAAGTAGAGGTTTTTGGATAACTCTCACATACCTGTCCAAAGTTTTCCTCATCTATGCAAAACATGAGATCCAGCTCTGTAGGGTCGTTTTCCAGGATCCACTTCAAGGAGTTGTAGTATTCACTGTCCTGCAGCAGATTACAATTACACAATGCATATAAATGTGACAATTCAAGGCACAATTTAATTTGAAAAATAAAGTAGTAAAAAGAAAATCTGAAACTAGAATGCCAAAGGAATTAGAACGATGAGAACTCCCTTATTTGCACGGCTATGAAAAAACGTTATTCATTTGTATTTTTCTTAGATGCTATATTTTTATTTATGTATCTTGCTGTAACTGACATGGATGTTATTTATACAGTACTGTATTCTGCAGTGTGTAATAGTAGGGTAGCAAATGTCTTCTCAGATAAAGCTGTACATTCTCTTCAAGAAAACTTATGTACCATTTTATTTCAGAAATAATTTAAGATACCCTCTAATTTCCCAAGAGGGTCATATCTTCATCTTCCTTTATGTTCATAATTAAAACTGAGCCAAGAAAGAAAGGAAAAGTGCATGTGTAGATATGAAGAAACACTTCCAAGCAAAAGAGCCGTAATAATTACAAGTTGAATTCCAAAGTAGAGTTAAAACATTATTTAGTTGTGGATGCACCAACAAAAGAGAGATCTGCCAGAACTCAGTGACCGTGACAGCGGCAGTGTCGGTGTGGCAGATTTTCTGTCACGGATTTTCCGTCGCTGGCACAAGCTGCGCCGCAGCCTCCTGCTCCTGCTGCCCAGCAGGGAGAGCTGGCGCCGCGGGAGGTCTCCTGCCCTCAGCCCTGACCGCTGCTCTCCCACCCAGGGAAAAGGGGCAGAAAACAAGCAGGCACCTGCCTCAAGCCTCTCTGACCTTGTGCTTCCCACAGGCAGTTCCCTGGACTTCTGAGCTTTTCCACACCCCTCCAGGGAAAAGCCTCCCAGAACGGCTCATGCTGATGAGGTGTAAGCATTGTCTTACCACTGATTCCATGTCTTTCAGGGTTATTGGCTTCCCCAGCATCATCTTGTAGAAGGGTCTGATGAAGAAGCCTAGGACAGAGGGATGTGCGTTAGATCCACCGCTCCGCGGCGGCTCCAGGGCGGCTCAGCCCCTGGGAAGGGCTCTCCTGCCCGCAGCAGCGCCGCGATCGCCCCGTTAGCGCAGCGGCCTCATCTCCTGCTGCGGGCAGAGGCCCCGGGCTCCATTACATTAGTGTAAGTCATGCTGGAGGTTAGGGGAGAGGGACACAGAACACGGGGAGCTCAGAGTGCATGAGGGTGCCATTGAAATTGCAGTTCTCCTCTCCAAGGAGAGGCTAGGGAAGCAGCACGGTGAGCCTCTGTGGTGGTGCTGCACTGCCTCTAAATAACATGTAGTCTGATTACAAAGTCTGTCTCCTTGCTTATTCCCAGATTTCAAAGTGAAGCAGAAATCTTCTCATTAAATCAATGCAGATTTCACAGATGAAAGTGCCTGGCACTCACACAAGCCATTGGCTTCAGCTGGCACAGATTTAGCCATTACCTCCTTGGGGGCTGGAACTCATTTGGCAGAGTTAGCAAGAGAAAAAGAGCAAAACATACTTGCATGTATTTGTAGTTATGACAGCATCACCCAGCAAGTCTAGAGTGCAGTTTCCGGGGGCTCCAGCTCCGCTACTTGCACCCAGACTTTGTCTCCCAAAATACTGCACTCTAATGCGTTGGAATTACTCAAGTGATTTATTTAATAAAAACCTAGTAACGGTATCATAGCCCTGAAGTGTAAGACTCACCATCTAACAGCTTCCCGTGATACACTGCCAGACCAGCAACCCGTCCAATAAACGTGAAATATGACAGATGATCTTCATTACAAAGCCCTGAGTTAGGATTAATCTGAAGCGTGTAGTTGTCCCTTTGGGGGGAGAAAGACGAAAAAACAAGCTGAACATTCAGGTCGAAACGAGCAGATGCTCAGATGTGCTGACAAACACTTGGAGCCCAGGGCCGCTTCTCGCCTGCTCCCGTCAGTGCAACGCTCGTATCCCCGCGCTCCCCGGCCACGACTCCCGCGGACCCAGGGCAGCGGGGCCGGAGCGCCGGGAACGTTCGGCCAAGGGACCAACGTGATCCGTCTGTGGCTAGTGCGGCTCCCTGCAGCGCCTCTGCAGGCTGCAAACTCTCCATCGCCTGAAGAATTTCCTAAAAACCCTAACTAGCTCCTATCTTTTGCAGGCTAAATAAAATTGATGAGAAGTAATATAATGCTTGGTACAGTGATCTGTAAACCAGCAACTGTATGACATGTAATGCTTATTCACTGGATGTGCTAATATTTTCCAAAATCAACTTGAAATTTATTTTTCCATCAAAATTGCACAATAAAGAACAGGCCAGGACTTTTGTGGGACACGAGGGAACCCCCTCATTATGCAGCCCTGGGTCCTCCACTTGGCAACCTATTCCACACCTGTGAGAAGAAGCGGACTGGATATGGATAAGAAACCCTGGAATGAGCTGCACGGGAGCAGCTGCAAGGCAGTGCTGAGCACGGCCACGAACATGGAAACACTCTCTGAGGCTTCAGGGGAATTTGAGGATTCCCTGAAATGCAAACAGGAAATAAGATGGCCAAAGAGAGATGGGACTGCTTAAGAGTATATAGTGATGTGCCACGGAGGAGGATCAACCACCCTCCAATTTAGCTTTGTCTCCTACACAAAATCTAACGTATACCATGTTGTGAAGGGAAGTATTTCAGTGGAGACTTACGTTGCTGAATACTCAAAGAGACCGTAATAAGGATTAAACATCTCCTTGGACAAGAGGAAGAACCATTCTCGGGCCACACCACCGTAGTCAAGTCCTTTCTCTGACTCGAACTCAATCCAGAGCCTGGCTTTTAGCACGTCGGGTCTCTTCACAGACATGATTCTTCGGTAGGACTCCTCGAAAATATTGTTTCTGTGCAGCTTCATCTCAAATCTGTTTGGTATATCAGCCTGCGCGAGAGGAGACACTGCCCGCGTTAGCCCCGACCCGCAGCCGTCCCACAACCCCCTCGCTAAACGGCAGGTCAGGCCTTGGGGCACGAAGGCGCCCTCTGAGCCCGCAAGAGGAGAGCTCCCGGTGAAGCCGCTGGACTCCTCTAGGGGTTCAGAGCTTTCTGTGGTGTTTGACAAAACAAGGAAAACCAACAGAAAAGGAACAATAAAAATGGGAGAAAATGGTATCGCTATGCCCTGTTTTCAGGGCATTTTCACTTAAAGGATGAGAGAAGGACAAGCTGTTCGCAGCCCTTCCACTCAGAACGTGTGAAGGCCAGGAGGTTGTTAACACAATACGAACATTCACAGTGCTCAAACAAAAGAGAATCGCCCTGCCAAGGCGCCGACCGGGAGCTCCCGGCCCCTGCACGTTACCCAGGGACTGCATCCAGGGGACCTGGGGGACAACTGAGTGCAGAGGGGGAGAATTTGTAGAAGGAAGCAGCAGCAGACTGGATGAACATAAACAGGACCTCTACAGTCAGCTATCATATTCCTAATCAAATAGCCTCGAAACAACTGTTTTTTAAGGTTTGCTTTTTTTTTTTTTTTTGCTTTAAAGTCTTATGTGACCTTTTAATACTGTGCAGAAAAACACAGTCTCCTGCAGTTAGAGAAGCATGTGAGGATCTAATAGTAAAAAGGTAAAGAGCTTGGCCAGTCCCTCTCCGTGTTCCAGCTGGGGCTGGTGCACCGTCAAGTGAGTCCGTGGGAGGGACAAGCTAATGCTGAGCTTCCTCCCGAGGCCCAGGTGACACTGAGTTTTCTTGGTCCAGGAGCACTATGTGCACTGCAAGCACCCGTGCTCTGCTCTGCCCTTGCAAGCGAGGGAGCCCATGTCCAACCATAGCCTGTCAGCTGAGAGCCCAGGCAATCCCGGGGCAAGGGTGAGTCGTGGCTCGCTGGGACTTCTTTGTGGCCTCGTCATTTTCATTTTCCATTCATAGAGGAAAATACGAACCTTAAAGATTTATAAAAGTCTGTGTCCAGAAATCAGCTAATCAAATGCAAACCTTACATTAGTTTTCCTGATCTTCTTAACTCCGTAAGTAGGATGATCAGGAAAGACTGGCAGGTGTGACAGAATAGGACGGACCGTGACTCTACATCTGCCCCGAGGTCTGTTTATCCCCCCGAGGGCGCAAGGAGCCCACCACGGAGCGGCACGGTCCTACTCACGGGTTTCTTCAGCTTCTTGCGGAAGTAGTCGTACTTCTGCTTGAACTCCCTGGAATAGGGGACTGCCTGTCGGAGAAGCACAACGACACGTTACTTCACGGGCATTGCGCAGCGCGACGCTCCAACGCCACCGGGGCAAAAGCTGAAGTGGAGACACGCGCTCTGGATACGTACGGTGCAGGGTCATGGAAAAGCACCCCGCTACGCCCGCAGCCTGCACACCATCTCGCCCGTTCTGGGTGGGAAGATGAGCTATCAAGTCCCAAACTTCCTGACCCAAGGTTTCCAAACTCCTAGTGATGCTCCAGAACGGGATTTACGCTGCTAGCGGTGCTCAGCACTGCCCAGTGCTGCACGGAGGCACGAACCACAAAGAACTTGGAAAATACAACCGAGAACAAGCGAGGGGCTCCAGGAAAACCGCCGCCCGAGCAGCGAAGGCCGCGAGCCCCCGCGGCGCCACAGGGACGTGCCCAACACCACGGTGCTGCTCGTGCCCAGCACCACGGTGCTGCTCTCCAGCCCTGCGCAGACCAGCCTGACCCTGGAGAGGAGGCGACCGCAGCGCTGCTGCCGCGGGCACCTACAGCGCAGGCCCGCGCCC